CTTGGTCCTAGGAGCGAACCATTGTTTTTTGTAATTTAATTTTCTCTCCTGAAAGCGTTGCTGATTAAATCCCTTCTCCGTGGGCCGTTGCATCCTGCCCCTGCTGTTTTGGGAATTAATGACCCCGCAAGGACGAGGCATTTCTGGACCTCAGCTGCCAGCGCACCCGGCTTCCTAGCTCAGGCTGCCTCTTCTCTTGGCACCTGAACCATAAGCGTGAAACTTAACAGCTTAGAACAAGCTCAAGATCGCCCTCTCCCTGCAGCTCCCATCCATCAGAGCCAAATTGGTGTCATTTCCTTTCTCCTGCCTTTCCACTCTGAAGCCACCCTTTCAGCCACAGTCCTGCTGGCTCCCTGCTGTCCGATACACAGGGCGGCAGTGTGTGAGCTGGATAAGGCAATGCGGGTCACAAAGCACACCCAAGGCACAGTCAGGATTAGAACTCAGCTCTCCCGAAGTAGAACCAGCCTGCCCAACTGAGGGATATCCTAACGCCTCGGAACCACTGCGCATTCCTGAGTCACCATGCAACAATCTTTCCAAGGTGCCACTTACTGGCTGGGGACGTGTGAGCGCCCCTGCTCAGTTCAGCCCACAGCGGGCCTGGCTCCTACCGCTCTATGCTCCCTCTTTTCCTCCTGTCCACACAACAGAAAGTCACCAGGTGACGCACTCCACCCTCCCGCAGGGCCTCCTTTCCCACAGTGCACATGCCTGAGGTGCCACCATCCCCTGCCCCCTGACATCATCCTCTCCCACCTGTTGGCCCTTCCAATCAGCCGCCAGGCAGGAGCAGAGGGCCCCTCATCTCAAGGTGTTTAGCAGCAAGCTCTTTCCCGCTTTTTCTGCTGGAGTTCCAGGTCAGCACCTGGCTTGCTCCTGCATATCTCCACACCACTGTGGTCTTGGAAGGAAACACTGGCATACGGACCCATGGGAGGCCGCACTTTCCCAGTGTCATAAATAAGCTGGTGCAGATGTGCCTCCCCTCCGGCCCCTCCATGTTGGTCTCTCCAGAGTGGATGTAGAGACCCCTAGCACTGCCTGGTCTCTTCCTGCAGTGCCCTGATGCTGCCTGGGCAGATGCAGTCCAGAAAAAGCCAGGTGTTCATCCCTGAGCCATGGGGAAGGGTCCCCAGGATGGGCTGTTTTTACCTCTACATTCTGCCCAGGGCAATGTGTCCCCAGCCCCCAGTTTGGGTAGTAAATAACACAGCCGCCTTTACCTAGAGGCTTCTGCAACTGTCAGCTCTGTGTGCAAATGCTGAGTCTAACTCTGTCCTTGGTGCCCGCACTACCTGATACATAGTAGGTGTTCAGTGCATGGGTTGGATAAATGAGTCAATCAATCACTCAATCAAAACATGACTGCATGTTACATTTCAGTAGGGACTTTATTGAATGTCTACAATAGACCGAAACACAGAGACAGTCTAATGTCCGCACTGAAAGGACAGACTCTGGGGCAGGCAGCCTGAGTGTGAAGCCCAGCTGTTTCATTTACTACCTATAAGGCTCTGGGCAAATTATAGAACCTCTCTGCACCTGTGGTGTCGTGTTTTGTTTTGAGTCAGGGTTTCACTGTGCAGTCTAGGATGGCCATGAACCCACTATGTAGCTCAAGCTGGCCATGAATTTGCAGCAATCCTCCTGCCTCAGCCTCCCAAGCACTGGTATTACAGGTGTGTGCCACCACACCCAGTCCTCTGCCTCTTTTTTTAGTTGGAAATTAGGGGTGATGATACAGTGCACCTTACTAGGTGGTTATGAGGAAAGAATTAGTACAAATAAGTGTGTGTGACAAGGGCCTGGAATGTTGTGAGTGCTGAGCAACTGTCAGTCACTATAGCCAGTAGTACAGTTGTGTCTGTGCCCTGCTGCCATGCTAGGTACTGAGGAATAAAGGATCCCACCATGCATTCCTGCCCCCTAAAAGGTATGGTACAATTGGGGTCCAAACCCACAAGAGGAAAGGAGTTAGGATGATGGGGAGCTCCTGGCGTAGGAGGATTTGGGGTGGAAGATTCCCCAGGGGGAGTTGGGTCTCCTGAAGAAAGGCTCTCTGGAGAGACATGACTTAGAGGGGTCTGGAGGGACCCTCCTCAGCTATGGGAGGAGGTGAGCAGATGGGGCCACTAGGTATGGACAGGACACTCACTGCGCGCAGGGAGCCACCAAGGACCAGTTGAGAGGATGCTGAGCACGCCCTCCATGGCAGGGTTCTGGCCTTTCCCCTGCTCCCATCTTGGAGGGAAGGCCTCCTCCAGCACTGCTCGCTGAAGTTCTGTAGAAGGCAAGAGGCTGGCAGCACCCACAGGGCTCTCTACAAATTCACCGAGACACAGATCCGTGATGCTTTGGGCTGATTTTCTCAGGAACAGTCTCCAACCCAGAGGACCCTGAGAGTCACTTAGAAATCAGTTCACATTTGACCCACCCAAATGGGACTGAATGGGACAATGAGTGGAGCTGAGCTAGAAGTAATCAGAAGGCCAGAGGTGGTGACACAGTCATTTAATCTTGGCTGCTCGGGAGACTGAGGCAGGAGGATGGGTACTTCAAGACCAATGTGGGCAATTTAGCAAGACCATGTCTCAAAATGAATGAATGAATCAGTCAATCAATTAAGGCATGGGATATAGCGTCATAGCAGAACACTTGCTTAGCAAGCATGAAACTCCAGGTTCAATCCCTCATACTAAAAAAAGAAAAGAGAAGAAGTGAGGAGAAGGAGGAGGCAGGACCCTTGAGTGTGACCTGAGAACACAATCTCCTGCCATGGGTGCAGGATGTCTCCTCACACCCTCACTCCCAAATGCAGACTTGCAAGCCCCGGGAATCATGGGCACCACTGCCTCTGCACATCCCTTCCTCCTCTCCTCCCTCCTGCAGCCCTGCCTGTCTGCCTGGCCTGCTCCTATTCATCCTGCCTGACCCAGATGTGGCCCCCTCTGGGAAGTCTTCCAGTCCACCCATGGCGGGGAGAGGGCTCCTCTAGGCTTCTGTCACGCCCTGGCCTCCCATCAGCACACTCATTCCATGGAATCACAACTATCCCCAGTTTGTCCTCTTCCCTGCGAGCTCTCGGAGGCTCTTGGCATTATGCCTGGTGTGGTGTCAGCATCATGGATGTTTGAGGAATGAGTGGACAGAGGCAGAAGCAGAGCCGCAGCAGCAGCTGTTGATTCACCCCCAGGTACCTTCTACCCCCACCAGGAGGCTCACCCTGGTTGGTGGGAAGGTGGTAGGCTCTGCCTCCCCACTGAGGCACTCAGATAAAGCAAGAGTGTCCTCTCTGACCAGCTCTCCTTTTCTCCCTGGATGGTGGTCATTCCTCAGGCATTCCTGTGAGTGTCTCCAGGGGCAGGAAGGAGGGAGTGGGGGTGGAGGACTCTCATGAGTAACAAGGCCAATTGGAGTGCACAGAATATGAAACAGAGCCAGGGTATTTGGGGCTCAAATGCCTGAGCATTGACAAGAGTAATCATGATTATAGGAAAGGAGAGTGGCCCCAAGACCTAAGGACTGACTTGTAGAAGGGACATGGATTTAAGGCTCCTTAAAGTTCCTGTCTTTCCAAAGCCACTTGGGTTTCTGAAGCCTCTTGTAGGCCGTTCATACTTTGCCTAATTTAATACCAGGACTTGGCCAAAGAGTAACCCATTTCTAGTTGAGGACATCGAGGCACTTGGAGTAGAGGCAAGAGGACACATGACTTCTGCTTCCACAGGCAGGTGACTCTACTTGCTTCGGGGATCAGAGAGCTGTGCTGCCAAATGTGGCCTGCAGATGTCTCCTGCGCCCTTTCCTCCACTGACAGAGTGATCAGTGAGGAATGACACCACTGACTGTTAACTGAGGGGCCAGCTGACAGAGACAAATGCTTTGGGTGTCTCTGAACGCCAGCTTCATGATCTTCCTCCTACCCCGTGGTCCTGACAGCCTGTCCTTTGAGGTCACCCTAATGACCTCTCCCCAGTGAGAGCTTCTTGGGGACAGAGGTAGCTTGTCCTTTCTTTCTCCACAATGTGTAGTGCACAGTGCTGTGCCCACAGGAGATGATGATGTGAAGCCAACAAAGCCACCTCTGTGCATTCATTTAGTTAGTAGTTATCAAGTGCCTATTACGTGTGTAGTCTCTGCTAGGTCAGAATATAATGGTGTAAAAAGATGGCTGTGGAGTGGACAGCCCATGCTCCAGACCATGACAAGGCTTGGCCACAGTTCCCTTTGTCTAGCTCTTCAGCACATGTGGGGCTTCCTTGCTGTCACCTCTTGATGTATGTTTGGGGATTGTGGACCATCATACCACTGACCTGGTTGGAGTTTCCTTGACAGCTCAAGCAGAACCAGCACTATCCTGCTGAATCCAGCCAGTCCTGCACATCTTTGGGCTACATTATCATCCATGTCCACCACTCAGGACCACTCCCTGCAGGACTCCAAGCCTCCCTGGCTGCTGCCAGGGCTGGTAACTCAAATCTTCCCAATGTCATAGGGGCTGAAAGGCCAGGAGGCCCTGGCTGAACTCCAGGGACAGTCAGCCCTAGCTGTGAGGAAAGAACAGATGGACTCTCTCCTTTCTTGCCTTCCCCACCTGCCCTCTGACACGGGAAGGTGAGTTGGGGAGGAGCGAGGGGAAAGTTCCCATCCCTGGTCTTCACAGGTCCACAGACCTCAGCATTCTGGACCAGGACAGTTATTCACATACTTACCACTTCCCGCCCCAGCTCTGCCAATCACAGTGGACACTGGGGCAGGGCTGAAGCCTCGCCCTGGATCTCACTGCTGGACTGTGGAGGGGTCCCCAAGGAGGAATCTGGGCCAAGGAAGAGTCCCTTAGGGAATCTGGGCCATGGTTATTTACCAACTTGGACAGAAGTATTTTTAATACTTATCTGAAATCTCTGAAGAGAGGTGTCTGATGGACACAATGCGTGTTCTGGTCCCACCAGCCTTGCTACCAACCATCATGCCCATATAATTATCAAATCCAATTAAAACCACACATTTTATTGATTTTTTTCATCAACAGTACATACAGGGCCATGTGCACAAATGGTACCCAAGTCTCACAGCTGGGAACCTCCTCTGCAGTCACCCCTAGGGACTAGTATCCTCCCCTGCCCCACCATGTCAGACCTCATGGTGCAGTCTCTGGACATGGCAGAACTGGCCTCCAAGCTCTTCCACTGAGCAAGCGTGGGGTCCCCATCAGCCCTCCCTGCCACATCCTTCCTCTCCAAGTGAGGAACCACCAAGAAGGCAGAATGATCATTTGTCGAAGGATAGGATTCAGTGCACACAGGGGCCAGTGGAAAGATGCTCCTGATGGCAGGGATCTCATTGTCCTGTTCACCACTGTATTTCTAGTGCCTGAAACTTAGCACATAGTTGGTACTTGATAAATATATGTAGAATGAACAAATGGATGACTGAAAGAGTGGACATGGGAAGGAGGGGGAAGTGTGAGCAGTTAAACCATCACAGCATCGGCCCTCTGGAGGGAATTGAAGACAGGACCTGGGTGAAGTCCACCTGATCTCTACCCAAGAATTGATGGTGTTGTGCGGTTGGAGTCACTGTGCCCATCCACTGGACGATTCAGGGTGAAGGCTGCAGCCCAGCTGCTTGTATGGAAGTCAGATTGGCCTCCGACCCAGTCGGGAGGGGCACTTGCATTGTCCCACCCCCTCACAGGCTGCTTCTCTGGGTCCCAGTACACATAGCAGTGCATCCATCCAGAGCCAGCCAGGGAAGCAGGGACGGTCTGGCAAGTGCTCTCTTGTGTTCTGGTCATTCCCGCCTCTAGCCTTCACTCCCCCACCTCCTGTCTTTGAGTTGAGCACGATCTGGCTTTTCCCTCCCCACGTCTTCCCCCACCCAATCCCAACACTCTTCTGTCTCCCTGTCCCCAATCCCAGCCCTTTCAACTACTTTTTTTTTTTTTTTTTTTTTTTTTTTGGTACTGGGGATTGAACTCACAACCTAGTGCTTACCAGGCAGGCACTTATGCTGCTGAGTTAAATCCCCCCTTTCAACTACTATTGACATCTAGGTAGTCCTCTCCTTAGTAACTGGGGTTGGGCTCAAACATTTGCATCACAATTTTCACACCCCTCCCATGGCCACCCTACTCTCCATGAACACAAATAACCCACAGTCATCTCTGCAGATCTGCCCCCAGGCCCAGCAGCATAAGAGGACACCACAGTCTTAGAGTGGGAAGGAATCTCCACACTTCTGGAACAACCTTGTACAAAATCCCTTGCACAGCATGCCTGGCAAACAAGTGCCAAGATCCTGTGAAATATTTCCAGTGGTGGAGCACTCATTACCTCCCAGGTAGCCACTGAAGCACTGAACAGCTTTAGCTTCTAGAATGCCAAGGCAGGCTCGCTCTCTCTCTCCCTCCCTCCCTCTCTCTGTCTCTCTCTGTCTCTCTCTCTCTCTCTCTCTCTCTCTCTCTCTCTCTCTCTCGCACACACACACACACACAGTCTTCTGTACAGTTGCCCAGCATTACAGTCACACGCCTCCCTCACTTTTGGGTGGCTCCCCTTTCCCTCTCTTTTCATTCTTTCCTTCCCAACATCTGGCAAAAATCCAGAGGCTGGAAACCAAAGAGAAAAGTTGGAAGAGAGCCAGGGAAAGGAGGTGTCCAGCCAGGGCCAGTGAAGCCTGGCTGGACAGGGAATAGCATCTGGAAATGCCAGCCACTGGCTGCCATGTCCAGAGAAAGGACCTTGAACCTGGTGGGTGGGCAGCAAGCTCCTGGGCTCTTTTCCCCCTCAGTACCCACAGTCCCTCAGAGGGACAAGAACCTTCCGTGGCAGAGGGACTTGGCTGCCTCTCACACGTGGTGATGTTAAGCATTTGCCAGCCTCCAGGTGCTGGGGAGCCTCAGCAGCAGGGAGAATCCACTGCTCACTCTCCACATGAGGGGAAGTGTGCCAGCACACAGCAGGGACTACACAAGAGGTGGCAGGAAGTGGGAGGGCCGCGAAGAGGGGAAGAAGGCTTCCCAGGGAGAAGAGACAAGAGCAGAAGCCACCCAACTGGCTGCTGAGACTAGCCAGGCCCGGGTGGCCAACTGTCCTCCCCATCTTACATGAAGTTCTTCCATGCGGGGTGGAAGACCAGGGCTGGGTGTGTGACTCTCCTGGCCCCAGGCTGTAGTGGGTCAGGGGTGGTAACCAGAGTGTTATGGCCTTATGTTCAGGAGAAACTGAGACTCAGAGAGGGAAATGACTCAGCACCTGCCTACTACTTGTCCTGCGGCTTAGAGCCCTCACTTCCGACATTGAACATGGGGACCAACAGGCCCAGCAGCCACCTCTTCCCGAAGACCTCCTGTAAGTTCTTGCGCCAGGGCTGGGCCCTCACTGCCACCCCCTTTCGAACCTGGTGGCGTGTCTGGCCCCGGAGGATCAGCAGCAGCTGGTGGCAGCAGAAGCCGGCGCAGGCCAGGCCCACGGCAAACCAGAGGTAGAGCATGAGGATGACGAACATGTCAGAACCGAGGACAGCTCCTGCGGGGGGAGGGAAACACCAGAACCGCTTTACACCCAGGCCACGTACAGAAATGCCACCGGGCTGGCGCTTTCCGCTGGGAGGGAGGGAGAGTCATGAGGCTGAAGCCACATTCTGTAGCAGTTTCAGGCTGCAGCGAGGGAGAGGAAGGATGAAATAGTTACCCTAAGTTTTCCTTAGTGCTGATGGCTCCTGAGGCGAGAGGGCAGCACTGGGGGGTGGGGAGGGGGGTGGGGTGGGGGGAGGAGGCTTGATGAGCTCAGCAAGCAAGGAGAGCCTGCAGCCTCCCTGCTCCAGGCTAGACGCTGTCCATTTCCATGGGGGCAGAACTCCCTCTCTGCCTCTCTCTCGGCTGGAAGAGAGAGCCGGGGGTTTACTGGGGAGGAGCAAGAGGTGATTTGAGGGCCCTAAAGAGGCACTGTTGGACTGGAGCACTTCTCCCCATGGGGCTGTGAGCACTGTCTGGGGACGACTCTGGAAAGTGACAGCATGATGGAGAACAGGACTTAGTCATCAGGAAGAGCAAGTCTTGAGTTCAGTCAGCCTCAAGGGCGGCTGAGCACACCAACTTAGAAAAACCCAGGCATTAACGTTACCGTTACCAAGTCACATGCAGCACCAGACACTCACCAGGGCTGGAAGAGGCCCCTGAGGTCATCGGGTCAGCCCTGAGAGCGGCACCACACCTCCCACTAAGTTTATCTAAACTGAACATTTCTTGCTATTGATTTTAGTAAGCAATCCCACACACTTCCTCAGAGTTTGGGAGGAGAGTCTGTCCAAACTAGGTTAGAATCTCCTGGCTGTCAGGACTTGCAAAAGGTTTTTAACCACCCCAAGTTAGAGTCTGATCATCTGCAAAATGGGTATCATAATGACAGTTCCATAGGTGTGCAGGACACAAGGCAAAGATCTAAGACGTAGTCAGCTTTCTGGTTCATACTTGGTGCAGCTTTCCTGATGAAAGTCATTCTAGGGACTGGGGATTTAGCTCAGCGGCATAAGCGCCTGCCTTGCAAGCAGGCAGTCATGAGTTCGATCCCTGGTACCGATAAAAATGAAAAAGACAAAAAAAAGAAAAAAAAAGAAAAAAAAAGAAAGTCATTCCAGAGGAGGGCAATACACCCAAAAAGTGTTCACATTTGACTCCTAAGGCCATCAGGATTTCTCTTCTTTTCCAGAGCTTGGCCTCCTGGCTGGCTGCAGCTTTGGCAGCTGTAGCAAAGACACCTGCTTTGGCTTGCCCCTGCCAGGGCAGTGGACCCAGGAGAGAACTCAAAAGCCCTAGCTCTTTGTTCCCTGTACGGCAACCCAAATACCAGCTTCTCCAGTGAGGGTAGCTGCTCCAGGGATACCACCTTACAACCTGTTCTCCCCTGAAAATTCAACCATCTTCCTCTCTTCTCTGACCAACCTTTTCCCCAGCCCATCTCTTCTCAGGTCTCCTCAGATTCCAATTTTCAGGCCCCTAAAATGCTTTTAACACCAGTCTGGTCTGCTGGAGAGTGGTGGGCTCAGCAGCAGGGCAGGATGGGATTTGATTCAGGTTTGCTATTAGCAGTCTCCTCTTCCCTCATCCCGGGGAGCTTTGATAGCAGGGTTTTCTTTGCAGAGTTGCAAACAACCAGGTCCAGTTGCCCAGGAGATAGAAAGCTCGCTTCAGCTGGCATTTACAGCAGCCTCTCTACTGACAGAGATAGCAGTGGGATAGGGCTCCATTGGGCTGTGCCATCCCCTGACCCACTTCTCCCTTGTCAGCACAGATTAGTTAGGGCGGCTACATACACCAAGGAGCATCCTGGGGCCATGTGCCCTTTGGGCTTGAGCAGTGCTGATGGGCAGAGATGGCCCTGGAACTGGGCTGTGCGAACATCAGAGCTGTCAAGCTTAGGCCTGCCCTGCAACTCAGCCCCAGGAACAAGCCTGGGCGATGGAAGCTGCTTCCTGTGGGCTTTTTTCTGGCACTAAATCAAGGCATGAGGAAAAGACCTTGTGGCCTTTTCCTGGCCCTGTGAAGCAGCTACAAAAGTCTATTCTGAGGATCTGCTTTCTCTCAAAGTGTTTGAAGTTACCTAACCTGGTTGCTTCAGCTCCTCTTAACTATTTAATAATAGTTCTGCATCTTAAAAAAAACCCATAGAATTTTCCCATAAGGCCTGAAAGATTGCATCATCTCATCTCCCTGTTCCTTGCCTCTCACCAACTATCTGTATCACTTTTGACAGATCGTCACCCAACATATTCTTTAATACATCCAAGGGCAAGAAGCTGTCCTCCTAAAGTGGCTCGTTCATCACAAAGGAGTATCAGAGAGGCAGTGGGGTACAGGGGAGAGACTGAGCTTTGGGGGCAATCACCCCAAGTCTTGAACTGTGTGGCTTTGATGCAGCTTAACCTGGCCGAATCTTTAGTTCCTGAGTGTTTAAAAATGATACCTGCTTCACAGACTCGTCCTGAGTGTGGGATGGAATGAGACATGCCCAGTGGGTGACACATAACAGGTGCTCAGTGAACATCAGTACCCTTTCCCTCCTATTGGACTTCCCAGTGGCACTTATCAAATGGCCTAGCATTTGTCAAGTGGTGTCATCTCCATTATCCAGATAAGAATGATTTCAGTTGGTGACACAACCTGTCTGGGTCCACAAAGCTAAAAGAAGTGACAGCTTCTAAAACCTATCTTGTAACTCTGTCCTTCTTTGCCATTAGCTGAGGGCTTAGGGTCAGCAGCTACCTTCACATGAAAGAACCCTCTCGCCTTTAGCTCTCAGGGACCTATTCACAGCCGTTCTGTGCTCAGGATCAGGACAAGAGCTAGGGACAGTGCAAGTGCTATTAAGTAACTTGTGCCTTCTGGCTCCTACCTGCTCCCCTGTCCTCTAAGCGGGAGAGGGTGTGCTCTCAGCAGTTTGGACTGGCAGTCAGAGAAGAGGAGTTGGAAAGGAGGAAGATGAACAGGAGAGTATGTGTCGGGGACCAGACTGGAGAGGAAAGGAAGCGCTGGGGCAGGGAGGGTGTAACATCAGCCAAGGAAGAAGATGAGATGGAAGAGCTAGAGATAAAAGTCTTCATCTCTTTTTCCTAGTGGGTGTGGGGAGCAGATGAAGGACAGAGGAATTCATCCTTCCACTTGAACAAGGGTTTGGGCTGCAGGGTGAGCCCTGACTGGCTCTGTTCTGCCATCAGAGCAGAGCAAGAGGTGCCTTCTTTCTTTCCGATCTCCCTAGCACATATGGATAGGCCGCCAGCCCAGACTTATCTCAAATCAAACCATTTCGAGATCCTCTTTCTGGAACTAGCCATTTTTATGGCTAGTGAAAGTACTTGGAAAAAGATGTGTGATCAGGTTCTTTGGCTCTCCTCACCCCTCCACCTGCCCATGCTCACACTCTACCCCCAGCCCGCCCACCTACCCTCCCCTAGCCTGGGTATTTTGGTCCTGGCAGCCTCCTATGCCAGCATGGAGATCCAGAAGGCCCAAGAGTTCTGGGTTCTGAGCCCAGCTCAGCCACCAGCTTTCCAGACATCCCTTGTGACTGGGGCCTCCCTGTTCCTGCAGGCAAATGGCACAACAATTCTATGCCTAGGAAGAACTGGGTTGTAGCCACAACAGAGACTGAAAGGGTGGCTTCTCCCATAGTAGAATAGAAGTTTATAAATGGCCAGCCCAGGGCAGTCCTGGTGCATTAAGACACATTGGGCTCTCAGTGAAAGTGGCTGTGCCCTGTCTTTCATGGTTCCTGAATGGTTAATTAATTAATTAATTTATTTATTTATTTATTGGTACCAGGGATCGAACTCAGGACCCTGAGCTTGCCAGGCAGGCGATTATGCCACTGAACTAAATCTCTGGCTCGGTCAATGTAGTTAGGAACACGTTCTACCCCCGATGTTGCTGAAGAAGAGTACTAGGTTATGGTTTATGGACCTAGAGACATGCCAGAGACAGCTACCTGGTAGTCTTGCAACACTGGGAAGACCATTGCATTCTTCACCTGAGAAATGGGGTACCAGTGCCATACACACATCAACTCTGCAACCAAAGTAGTCATAGTCAATGGCCAGGGGGAGAAGGGAGTAGAAGGAAACAAAGTAGGGTCCAGTTTCAAAGCCAAGTAAAATAGTAAGAACTGCCACCAGGAGCAGAGTCTCCAGGGCTAGATAGCAGAGCTCATTCCTTGTGGCATCCTATTTCAAATCTAGTCCCCACCAGGGTGCCCGGCTGAGCACCAGTGTGAAGACCCACGTGCCTGGCTCCTGCAGGTGTTAGGGCGCTTCAGAGGGTCATCTCCCAGCCCAGATACAAGCTCTGCATTGCAGATAGGTAACAGTTAAACAGCCTGGTCTCCAACCAGGATGCCCCTGCTCAAACCGCAGAAAGTATGGGGGGGTCAAACCAGTGGAGGCAGGAGGATGGCTACAGTTGTATGGCAAGACTCTGGTGGGCAATCCTGGGGAGGAAAGCACAAGGTCCAGGCAAGGGACAGTTACACCATAGGCTGCATGGGGGTGTGCCTGGCATACAGCAGTTACTGCCTGGCCACCCCAGTTCTATGGGTAAACACTATGATAGGTGAGGGGAAAGGGCCTATTGTCAGTTAAATATAGTATGTTCAATTAATTCCAATTTCAGATGGGTCACCGTATGTTTTCTTAGCATGTATCATGTTGAGACATAATTATACTAAAATTTATCTGAATTTTAATGTATATGGGCATTCTGCGTTTTTATTTGCTAACTCTAGCAAGTCTTAGAATTGCAAAAGGAGGTCTTATTTGCTGAACCCGCCTGTCCAGGCCCACTCACCGGAGAAGAACTGGCTGATGGAGGTGGGCAGGAGGGTGAGGAAGGCCAGGGGATGGGCGAAGGAGATGGAGAGGACAGCGGAGATGTAGGCCACACCAGCCACCATGGAGTAGAGGCAGGCAAGGGAGGTGTAGAGGCAGAAGAGGACGAAGTTGCGCATGTTCCTGCTGCCGATGCAGTTGCCGGTGAAGAAACAGTGGTGATCGTGCCTCAGTGTGACTCGGGCGCACACTCGGCAGAAGTGGGTGCTGGGCGGGGGACACAAAGCCCTCCTGGCCGACGACCCCTGGCAGGCCCCCAGGTCATCCGGAGAGTTCTGGATGACCAGGACGTAATTGCCCAAAGCGTTGGCAGAGAGAAACAGGAAGAGCGCCCCATGCAGGAGGGCTGGCGACAAGAGACGGGTGGCCGCGGGGTCCTCACGCATGCTGGGCAGGAAGAGAAAGAGCTGCAGCACGAAGGTGACCAGGGAGATGCACAGGAAGTAGGCGGGGGCCACCACGTTGAGCAGCCTCAGGGCCAGCATCCTTGATTACATTCCTGAGGGGCGCAGGGGAGAGGGAAACTTGCGTTACCCGAGCAGCCAGGAGGCGCCATCGTGCGCTTCTCCCCAACCCCTGACAACCCAGGCGGTGCGAGGGCTGCACCCAATTCTATACCCCTCAATCTCTGCCCCTCAGGTCACTCCTAAAAACGTCCCTAATCCGTAATCTGAGCTGGGGTGGAAAGAGTCCCTGAGGCGGCAGCCGCCCTACCTCCCTCAGATTTGGAGCAACTTGGGTGCTCAGGACTTCTAGAGTCACATGCAGGGAGAGAAATTTATTCGTGGTCTGCAGGGGCTGGGAGCTTGGGGTGGAGGGTGAAAGATAGGGCCGCACGCTGCTTCAGATTTCCCTAGGAGAAAGCGACTTGGGAATGGGTAGGGCCATTTGACTTCCTGGAAGACCTCCTTTGTCTCCCCTTCCTCCGCCCACTAACCTTCATCTCGAGCAATTTCAGGAACCTCACCCAGGCTCTTTGGAGGGTTATGAGTGTATGGACCCGTTGGGTGTTTGTGTGTTTCTTTGTGTGTGACTCTGTACGTGTAATCTGTGCCTGCCTAGGGATATGTGTTTGTGCATATCGTGACTGTATGTACACACACGCAGCCGCCGCCACCTGGCTTTTTATTTTAAAAGATCAATTAAAATAATCAATACGTTCGCTGATGCTTAGGCACCAGGTGGGGTGGGGGCGCAGGCAGAATGCTGTGCCAGCGAGTCCTGCTCAGACCGTGCCTCTGACGCTGGCTGTCCTGGCTGTGTCTTTGCAAACAGCATTTTCCCTTAGGGTGGTGGAATTAAAAATCCACCCTTCACGCCTGCCTCTCGCCCTCCTGGCGGGAGAAACCCAAACAATCCCCATGGCGCTGAAACCCTTTCAGTGCCGGCAGGCTCACGCTGGGAGAACCAGGCGAAGCTCAGCCGGCGTGTCCAGGGATCCACCCCCAACGCACCCCACCCAGGCAGCCTCCCCCACCCCTGCGTCCCGCCCCCACAGCCCAACTTAGGAAGCCACCGGGCAATAGGTTCTGTGCACCGGAGAGAACTTTTCTGGGGGCCAAGGATTAGGACAGGCGGAGGTGCGAGAAAAGTTTGAGAAGGCGGGTTTACCCAGCAGGGGCCCCCACCAGGATGCCCTGTCCGGACTGGGGGGCTGGTCACCCTGGAACCCTCTTTGCAGGTGGCGGTCTCCCTCCACCCCGGAACCGCGGCCCTGGCGGGGAGCTCAGGCCGCTGTCCGCCGCCGGGGTGCGGCGCAGGGCGCGCGGGAGGGTGGTCGCCGAGGGTTTGGTACCGCCCCGGCCCTGCAGGCAGGGAGGCTGCGGCGGCGCTGCCCACCCCGAGAGCCTGGGTCCCGGGCTCCGGCAAAGCAAGTGTCTTCCCCGCGCCAGTCGCCAGGGGGGCGCGGGAGCAGCCTCCAGATGCGCCGCGGCTTGGGAAGGAGAAGGACAGGGGCCGGGGGAGCGAGGGGCGCTCGGAGGGCGGCGGCTGCCGGGGCCCTGCCCTGGGGGGGGCGGTCAGCGCCCCGGCGGCGGCGGCACGAGGGGTCGCGTGGAGCGGTCCGTGCCGCGCTGCGCCGCGCCCGCCGCGGAGGTCGCACCGTGGAGCGGGCCAGGCAGGCAGCGCAGCCGCCGGCGCCTCGGCCACCGCCTCCGCGGCCCGGGAAACCGCCCCCTGCCGCCCCCGCCACGGAGGGATCGGGAAACGAACTCACCGATCTCGGCTCGCCGAGAAGAGGAAGCCCGGACACCGGCTCTCACCCTCCCCACGGCTGCAAAGTTGTGGGATCGGCCCGGCTTGGCTCGCTGCCTCCTCACGCTTCGCTTCGGGGACTGGGCAGGTAGCGGGCTGTGGGGAGGAGGGAGCGGGCAGCTGCCGTCCTCCCACTTGGGCGCCAGCGAGTGGGGCCCAGGAGGCAGCGGGGATGGCAGCTGCCCCCCCCCTGCGCCCCGCCACCCCTCCCTCCGCTCCTGGGGGCGGTGCTCTGGCCACCGGCTCTGCACCATGGACTTGCCCCCCACCCCCTCCCCGCCTTCTCCGCTATCCTCGCGCAGGTTGGGGCGCCCCGCCTGACTTCAGCGTAGGTTCCAACTGGGAGATGGGAATTCGCCCCTGATCCAGCCATCAACCTGTCGTTCCCTCCTTCCTCCTTCTTGGCCATGACTAATAACCTTCCTTGCTGCTGGCTTGGACCAAAGGAAACCTGGGGTTTGGTGGCTCAGTTTCCTGAGGGTCACGCGCGAAGACCAGCGTCATCTCAGAAGGGCTGTGTACCCAGAGGCTGAGTCTGGACCGGAGCCTGTCTGCCCGGGCTTGGATGTGCAACATCCACCACGTATGCTCCTAGATTCTAGTGTCCTCAGTAGAACAGAGACCCGAGGATTAAATGGCAATAGACAGGAAGCTCTTAAACAGAGCCTGTTCAGACTATGCACGATTTGGGTCTTAGATGACAGTTACTATCTTGACACTACCTATCAGGCCCTCCTGTGTGCCAGGCACAGTGCTAAGCATACGCTCACTTCATTAAACCCATCTGCCCCATCTGAGGAGCTGGACGAGCCTCATTCTAGGGATGTAAAGGTTGGGATGCAGAGAAAGTAAGTCACCTGTCCAAGGTCATACAGCAGGTGAGTTACAAAGCCGGGATTCCAACCTGCTGTTTGCATTGATGTTCCACATCTCAGCCTCCACGCAAACCAACCTCACCCTGGACCACAAGCAGCTTTGATTTGGAGGAAGAGAGGGCTTAAGTGGGGGTACAGCCAAACACAGAGCTTGAACCTGGAGCTTCGGCTTGGAGCCCCAACCTATTTCCCTATTTTCGCTCCATCCCTTCCCAGAGCTCCAATATTCTCAGGTGGGTACTATGAGAAGGTAGCACCATTGGTGTGTGTGCAGAGGAGGGGGTAGCAGAGGGAGTCTGGGAGCATTAAACATTGCACGGCCACTGGGGATCTCATGGCCTCAGTTTCCATAGCTCTCCAAACTGCCCTGCTCCACTCTGGGTGAAGGCGAGTACAATATATAAATAATTGTTTTTTGCTTTCTTAACTGGTTGATTAAAACGAGAGCAATCCCCAATCCCTTGAAGTGAGGGCCATGTGCCAATCGGCTCAGCCTCCAGTTTTGAATCATCAGCCGCTGTTTTCTCTGCATTTTATGAGCATACATAAAAATAAAAAAGGGGCCAGGAAATCTTTTCATATTCTGGAGGCTCTTACAGGCAAGCAGAAGAACAGTCTGCCAGTAGGTGACCTCTGAAGATCTGGTAGCTCTGTGAGTTCCAGTGGTCCCAGGACAGACACAAGAAAGCACAAGTGGCCTTGTCCCCTCCAGAGCATCTTTGTGTCACAGGCATAGCCATCCGGTTTTCTTCATAAGCTCTGCTGGCCTCTCCCACAGTCTTGGGAGGCCCCGTTTGGGCCATGTTGATTGAAGATCTCCATTCCTTAAATACCTTGAGAATCGGATGGTATTTCTAATTTTATTTTGCATATGGGTGTGTGGTGGGAAGGTGTGCATGTCTGGATATGTGTGTGTGTGTATGTGTGTGTGTGTGCGTAAGAAAGAGAGAAGCTAAGTGAACGTGGGAAGATGTCAGTGGGGGAAGGGAATAGTCAGCAGGAGCGAGGAGATCTGGCTGTGCAGACACAAATGGATGAGGACAATTATTTATTTAGAAATACGGCTTATCAACAGAAAGGGGCCTGGAAGCGCCAGGTCTACAGCTCTCAGCTTCTTAAGGAATGGAGTGAGAGGAAGCCCAGCTCTATGTTTTGTTCTTCTGAAACTGGTGCTCATCTCTGACCAAATCAGTAAGGAGGTCAGTTTGAGGTGTCACTGTGACCAGCCACCCAGAGTTAAGCAGACTAAGACTGGACGCTGTATTGTCAGTTAGTAGCTATGCAAACTTGAGCGAGTCATTTTCCCTCTGTTGTTTGTGCTTTTGTCCATAAAATGGGAAACAGTGGTGTCGCTTTGTAGTAATGATGAAGTGAGATGATTAATTTAAGTCTCAGCAGGAGATTGGATGGTGCTCCTTTCTCACCTCCTGTCTCTCTTCTGGGTTCTTGTCTTTATCCAAAAGACTTCCTTCTCTTTCCAACTAACCTGAGAGCTCCTGGCCTATCTTGGAAACATTTTAGGCTTTCCTCTGATTTGCCCTGAGTGGGAGTGTATTGATTAATAGATCAATTTTGGTCTCTCTCTGCAAGGAAAGTCTCTACCCCGAAGTCTTCCAAATGTCTGGGGAGGACGCATTTGCCATTGATCTTTTTTTTACTTGTATTTTTTTTTTTTTTAACTTTATATCGGTACCAGGGATCGAACTCACGACTGCCTGCTTGCAAGGCAGGTGCTTATGCCGCTGAGCTAAATCCCTAGCCCCCGATTGCCATTGATCTTGTGTACTGCCATGACCCATTCTCACTAATCTCATCCTCCATAAACAGTGTCAGAAAAACATTTAGACGCCACATTCTCCATTGGTCCTGTTATATATGCTCAGAGTTGAGCCAGGACTGTACCTGCAGGAGGTCCCAAGGAGGCAGGGGTACAGATAGGCATCTGACTGCTGCTGGGCATTTTCCTGGAGATGCATGCCTGTAAAGCTTGCTGTTTAGTGATGCTGCTTGAATAAAAATTAATTCCTCTTCCAAATGGCAATCATTCCATTTTGCTACAAAGGTTATGTGCAAAGGAAGAAACTCCATGGAGCAAGCAGCTTCTGTCTTAGGTGAGGACCTTCCATCCCTGTGTCAGTCAGGCCCTACACCTCTCCAATGTTTGGATGGAAAAGGTTCCAGGACACAAGGCTGCACCGAAGAAGATTGGTGGAGGGGTTTCATTTTCACGTTCTGGTTTCAGATGAAACAGGGTGAATATAGGTGGGGGTCTCAGGGTTAACTGGTGCTCTGAAATTAAGATCATAAGAGACATCCTCAGACAGGTTACTGTGTACTGCCACCCGCAAATCATAGCCATGGGTAACTGTAAAGTACTCTTTGAGCCTCAGAAGGCTTAGTAAGACTCCATCCCTGCCTGCCCAGATTCGGAAAACATGTAAATATAATCTGCATTTTAGCCAACCAAATGCAAGAAAATTGAATTACCACCGAATTTCTATTTGGAGGTGGTAATTTACAACTCTACCTTCACATTAACAGCAATTACATTACTCTGATGTAATAAAGTGCTTTGCAGGTTACACAGTAGCTCCACAAAATTAAAATTTCATTCCATGAGTCTCTCAACAGCCCTGTAAGCTGCTTGGAACAAGAAGTATTAAGCCCATTTTTCTTATGAGAAAACTAAATTTCAGAGGTTTGCTCATGTTAATTTGTAAGCCTTGCCTATATCTGATTTAGAATATGCTTTCATGTGCAAAGATCTCACTGGTACTTAACTTTTCCTGGACATGATATTTGCATAAAGGAAACAGGTATACTTCCCCAGAGTAAAAGACCTGTGTGATCTCCCTTTCTCCAAAACTCCTCCATCCCACCGTCTCTGCATTGTCTCTAACATCACTTGTCCACCATGAGACATAGTATCTACCTGGTACATAGTAGGTGCTCAGTAAACATTGGTGGACTGAATGAATATATAAGGATAAGTAAACATGTAAACCTAGGGCTGGGGATTTAGCTCAGCGGCATAAGCGCCTGCCTTGCAAGCAGGCAGTCATGAGTTCGATCCCTGGTACCGATAAAAAAACGAAAAAGACAAAAAAAAAAAAAAAAAAAAGAAGTAAACATGTAAACCTATACCATGTTAATCAGATACCCTCAAGTTCTTTGCTGTTTGTGCTGCTGGAGAGTGTGTGTGTGATTCAGTAAAGGACACTCATCATCCAGGCCTACATGTCAAGCTAGAAACAGCAGGCTGGAAATCTTGGTCAGTTTGGAAGAGGCCCCTTTGCAATGCTTTGGCTGTGGGAGAATGAATGCAATCTTTCCCCAATTAGCTGCGGCTTCCAGGGACCACTTAGGCAGCCCTGGTAGGGATGCCGATGCCCACGGACCCGCATGCAGCTCTGTGGTGGTGGTGGCTGCAGCGACAGCAAGATTAATTGGCCCTTTCATCTTAAGATCATGCAGGAGCCAGAGGGAGGGAGAAAGAGGGAGTACAGCGCGGGAAGTGAGGAGAGTGGGAGGAGAAGGACGAGGGAGAGCGAGGGGGCTGGGGAGAGAGGGCTCCGGGCTGGACACGCATCACGGCTCTGTCTTCCTGACAGTGGGACCTCAGGAGGCGCAGGGGACCAGCTGTCTCTGCTGAGAGCCCGGCAATGCCAGGTGTCCAGGATGGCGGGGAAGGAAGCGGAGGGCTGACATCTTCATTAGAGGAGGTCACTGCAGTGCCCATCGTTGTTTGGAGGTCGCTAGAATATGTTGTGGTGGTCAGAGAGCAGCAGGCCGAGATGGTCCAGAGCCCCACCCCCTAGCAGAGATGGTTCAGGGCCCCGGAGAGAGGTGAGTGGGTGGGGGGTGTAGTGCAGAAGGCCTGAGTTTTTTGAGGTCTGCTGACCTAGGTTTGAATCTCTGTCCCCATTCACTGGCTGTGTAATCTTGAGCAAGCTCCTTCACCTAGCTGAGCCTCAAATTCCCTCTCCATTAAATGGAATTTTCACCAGCTTGCAGAGTTCATTCATGAGTTTTCAGTTGCAAAGATGTCACCTTGGTCACACCTGCCCTTTCCACCTGTCACAGCCCCCAGCTCTCCCTGCCACAGAACCCTCCCTGCTGCACAGCGCTCGCCCTGTGATCACCTCATCTGAATGCTCATTTCTTCAGCCGTCCTATGGGCAGGGACTCACCTGGCAGCCTCTTTTCTGTGGCCTATAGACAGCATGGAATCTGACACATGGGGACCTCTCTAAATATTTGAGTCAATAAATTATAAATAAATATAATTATAAATAAATAATAAATTCTATCTCAGTACGTGACCTTTAAAGAACAGGCTTGGGGGAGCAACGGATAAACAGAATTCAGCAAAAGATCCCTACTCTTTGACTCCTATGATGTGCCAGGCACTGGGGGCCCAGGAATCTGCCTGTGGGTTCTTTCACTGCACCCTCACAGAGATCCTCTCTGCCTCGTGAAAGTCAGACCCTGTGATTTTCTAGAATGGGAAAATGGAGGGCT